AGTCTCTCTCACACTTTGAATCTCTCCTCCTTCTTCCGTCTTATCTCATTCTGACTCCGCCAGTAAAGGTTCTCTGACTTTTAAGGACATATGTATTTAGATTGACCCCTCCTGATAATCTAGGATACCCTGGCCATCTCGAGGTCTCTTAATTACATCTCCAAAGTCTCTTTGGCCATATAAGGTAATATAGTCACTGCTCTCAGAGACTAGGATATGGACATCTTTGGGAGACCTTATTCTGCCTACAAAGTAATATTCTATAGTTGTTATAAACCCTTCAACAATGTCAATGTCATAAAAGGGTTTTTCTTTAAAAGCTGGTGGACTGTTGTAGATTAAAGTAGAGCAAAAAGACAGGACAACTAAATGTACTTTAGTAGTGCAATGTGTAATACTTGATTGAATCTTAGATTTGAAAGAGATAAAACAGCTATAAATTTAATTATTGTGACAATGGGGAAATTTGATTATGGCTATATATAAATAATACTATTTTATCAATGTTAAATCTCCCAAGTATGATCATTGTATTGCAATTATATAGGAGAATGTCCTTGTTCTCAAGAAATATGTGCTTAATTGTTTCAGGGTAAAGTATCATGATATCTCTAACTTACTCTAAAATTGTTCTGAAAAACACAATGAGAGAAAGAGAGAGAGTATAGATGTGGCAAACTGTTATTATTTGATGAAGTTAAGTAAAGAAAGAATATGCATTCACTGTGCTATTCTTAAAACTTAGAGTAGGCTTGAGATTGTTTAAAATTAAACTTGTGACAAAATTAATGATAAAAGAGAAACAAGATTAACAAAACTGAAAGAATTCTGATAAAACTGATAAAAATCAAAAAGAAGAAAAGCACAAATAGTAATAGAAAAAAAGGTATAACTATAGATGCTGTGGAAATTTAAAAAGATAGTGAGCAGATATTATAAACAATTATATGCCAATAAATTTGAATGCTTAAATTTGAATCAGACAAATTCCAAGAAAAAAAAAATCTAGCTTACCAAAACTGACTCAGGAAGAAATAGAAACTCTGAATAACTATAAAACCACTGAAGCATTTTGCTTCAATAAAAATTCCCAGAAAAGGAAGATCAACACCCATGGTTTTATAAAAAAAAAAAAATCTTTATTTTTATTTTATTTTTATATTTTATCAATAAAATATTTAATGTAAGTATTTCCAAAATCACACAAACTATTCTAGAATAATGAAAAAGAAGGAATATTTCCCAATTCATTTCGTTCAAGAGAAGAACAAAACGAGGACTTGTCTTTAAAGATATCCAAAATAATTTTAAAGCTATTCATTATTAAGACAATGAAATATTGGCATGGGGATAGACAAAATGAATGGAAAATCAATGGAAATAATAGAGAGCCTAGAAATAGACCCACACATATATCAACATATGAGTTATGACCAACTTGGCATTGTAGGTCAATGAGAAAAGGGTGGGCTCTTCAATAATTGCTGTTGGGACACTTGGTTATACATATGGGGCAGGGGAATGAACCTGAATCCTTACATCACTCCATACACTGAAACTAGTTCCAGGTGGATTAAAGATGTATAAAACTTTTTAGTAGACAAAAGAAATTAATTTTAATAACTTTGTGACAGGGGAAGGACTTCTTAAGACAAAAAAAAACTTACCATAGAGGAAAAGAATAGTAAATTTAATTACATTAAAATAAGAACTTTCATCAAAACATGTCACAAAGAGAATAAACAAACAAGGCATGAACTAGGAAAAAATATTTGCCATCCATCATCAGAATTTACATAAAGAACTTCTACAAACCAAGAAGTAAAAGATGAAACAATCCAACAGACAAAAGATTTTAAATAAGCACTTCACAGTGGAGGAAACCAGATGACTAATGAAACATATAATGACATCCAACCTCATTAGTATTCAGAAAATTCAAATTAAAACTATAACGTGTTATCACATTTTCAAAATCAAAGGCCTACTCATACTAATCGAAGATTGTGGAACAGTACAACGTTGAATACAGATGGTGATAAAACACCTCTGCTTGATTCCTGATCTCAAAGGAAACCCATATACTGCTGGTAGTAGTGTAAATTGGTACAAGCCCTTTGAAAACCAATGTTCCATCTATAGAAAAGGTGACAATGTGCACTCCCCTGAAGCAGCAACTCCACTCCCAGAGTATACCTAGAATACTCTTACTCCAAGAAACTCTTGCACCTGCACCGGAGAGGACAGGCAAAATGCTCTTAGCAAAACTGCTTGTAATGGCAAAATCTGGAAACAATGAGAAAGCCAATGAACTGTAGAATGCATAGATAAATTGTGGGGGAGCCGTACAGTGGAGAAAATAAAAGAATTACAACTACATGCAGCTACCCAGCCATATTTCAGGACTGAAATGCTGAGTACTAAAAGCGAGTCACAGAAGAACACAAGATTCCATTCTTATAAAGCTTAAAAATTCAAAAAGGAAATAGTATTTATTCTTAGAAACATAGTCATCTGGTTAAACTACCTCTGAGAAGTGAGGTTTAAGGGGATAAGATTGGGAGGGTGGCACACAAAGAATTTCAAAAGTAATGGTAAAAATTTACTTTTCTTAAACTGGATGACAGGTGATGGGGGGAAAAGCAAGAAGTGATATTAGCTCACCAGAGGAGTTTTGCAAGTCAATCCTCACTGAAAGGAAGAAAGAGCATTCAAGTTCCCTTCACTGAGTGTGTTGGGAGGCAGAGATGAGAGACATTGGAAGAGACACAAAAAAGGGAGTAAGTGTTGGAGAGGTTGGAGAGGTTGGAGAGTCTCAGGACAATGGTAAGTGGAGAAGACTAGTTTTGGGGGGAACAAGGAATGGAAAGGTCAACATTAACTATCCACTAGAGTTTTTAACATAATCCTTAATGATCAGTCAATCCTTAATGATCCCACCAAAGAGATACTATACCCACTTTATAGATGCAGCATCTGACACCCTCAGGCTACTCTGATGACTCTTCTGCCAACTCTCAAATGCTCCAAGACTAAGAGATCTCTTAGATCTCTTTTCCACCTATGCTCACATCTAGGTGATCTTACCAATCTACACCTTTTTTTTTTTTTTTTTTGAGAGACAGAGATACTGTGTGTGTGAGGGAGGAAGAGCAGAGGGAGAGAGAGAAAGAATCCCAAGCAGACTCCATGTCCAGCACACAGGGGTGAGGGGAGGGGGGCATGGAAAGGGGACAGGGGGGCTTAGAGTAGAGACAGGGCTCAATCTCATGAATGATCTCAACCTGATCTTAAATCAAGAGTTGGACGCTCAACCAACTGAGCCACCAATCCAAACCTTTAAATGTCATCTATCTACTGAAGATCTTCATATCGATATCTCCAACCAGACCTCTCTTGGGAATGACTGTTCAGCAACCCCAGCAGCCTGTTGAACCCCCACACTTGGATATCTAATTGGCATCTCAACTATAATGTGTCCAAATGAGAACACTTGGTATTTCTCAGGGTTAAGGGAGAACTTCCCTGGATCTTCCCCCTCTTGGCAAATGGTAGCATCCATTCACCTAGATCTCAGGTCAAAATTCTTGGGCCATCCTTAACTCCTGTCTTCCTCCATGCTCTACATTTAATCTAGGGGCAAATTATGTGAGCTCCTCCTTCCAAATAAATCTTGAAGCCAGCCACTTCTTACCCTTCACCACATCCTCCCCGGTCTAAGATCCTGTGATCTCTCACCTGGATATCAACATGCAATAAATCCCCCTGTGTCCACTCTTGACTCCCTTTACATCTGTTCTCCGCATGGAAGATGGAATGATCCCTTAGTATGTAAACCATCTGGGTGGCGGTTATAAGGATGTGTTCACTTTGTAAACAATCACTGAGGTTCAGGCCTATCATTTGTGCACTGTTCTGTAGGTATTTTATGCTTTAATTTAAAAATGCACTCATTTCCTCCTCCTCCTCTTCCTCTTCTTATTCTCTTCCCTTCTCTTTCCTTTCTAAACACTTTAGCCAAGAGCCACTAGATAAGATGAGGCCAGGCAAGAGTGGAGGTGGAGAGTCACAACAAGTAGAGTGGGCTAATGCGGGGTGTCAGAGCCTAAAGAGGCGATCCTAAACATATGCTGAATCCCCAAAAAGGTAAGGGGCTGGTCACACAGGAGTGGGAATGGCCCAGCACCACCAGGGTGTTAGAGACAACATTCCCACAGGAGTGTGGCCAGAGGCAGAGTGAGTGGCGTAATGAGAAGCTTGTCTGCACAGCAGGACAGTCCTGACTAGAGTGAAAGAAACAGAAATATAACAAGATGTCTGGGAGCACCTGCCACCACCCCCACCTGGCATAACAATGAACAACCTAGAGCCTAGATCTCGGGTTTCTAGATACATTCCCCAGAGATCCTTGGAGAAGTGGCTCCTTCCAGGACGGGTGTAGGGAAAGTACAAGATAAGCCCAGAACATCTTGTTGTGTTAGGCTTTAAAGAAACACTCAAAGATAGATGAGCATATATCGTAAGAACAGAAAGCAGTCTGAAGGGGTTCCCACTCCGTAAATTAATGACAAGTTGAGTATCAAAATAAATAATAACATTAATATCACATAAACAAGCTAAAGAAGAAAAATCACAGGATCTTATCAATAGATGGTTGGAAAGCATTTGACAATATCCAACACCTAATCATGATAAAAAGTCCCAGCAAACTAGGAATGGAAAGAAATTTCCTCAACTTGATAAAGAACATCTACAAAAAAACCTACAGCTAACATTATACTTAATGGGGAGAAACTTTTCCACTAAGATCATGTATAAGACAAGGATGTTTCCACTCATACAACTTTTCAGCATTATACTGGAAGTATTAGTTGATGCAATAAAACAAGAAGAAGAAATAAAAAGCATAAAGATTGGGAAGGAGGAAATAAATCTGTCTTTGTTCACAAACAATATGATTGTCTATGTAAAAAATCTAAAGGAGGTGTCCGCCTCCGGAGCCACAGCTGCCGGGATCTAAAACCCAGGCTCCAGCGCGCGGGCGCGCGGGAAGAGGGAAAGAAATCAGGGCGGTGGTGATGGAGAGGGGGAAGGTGAAGAAAAAGGGGAAGGAGCCGGAGAAGGAGAAAATTCGGGAAAAAGGAAAGGAGGAGAAAGAGAAAAAGGAAGTGGAGAAGGAGAAAATTAAGGGAAAGGAGAAGGGGAAAGGGAAGGAGGAGAAGAAAGAGCGGGAGACCGAGAAAGAGAAGGAACAACTTAAGGGAAAAGAAGACAAAGAAAAGAAGGAGAACCACGCCTTGGCTAAGCCCCCGCTGGAGCCTCCGGAGAAAAATAAGCAGATCCTTGTCTTGGGCCTGGACGGAGCAGGAAAGGCCAGTGTTCTCCATTCTCTAGCTTTAAACAAAGTCCAGCACAGTGTGGCACCCACCCAAGGTTTCAATGCAGTATGCATCAACACTGAAGGTAGCCAAATGGAATTCCTGGAGATTGGCGGCAGTGAACCTTTCCGTTCCTATTGGGAAATGTACCTGTCCAAAGGATTGCTGCTGATCTTTGTAGTAGATTCAGCAGATCACAACAGATTACCTGAAGCCAAGAAACACCTTCACCAATTAATTGGAACAAACCCAATCCTTCCTCTGGTTGTGTTTGCAAACAAACAGGTAAAAGTCTGTGCAAATTTAAGTGGCATTCAATAGCTTTATTATCAATGATAGAAATAGAAATGTCTTCTTTTAATAGCTGGATATTTAACAATGTGCTGTATATTCAGTTTAGTTTATGCTTATTAGATCTACTGGATTATAAACTCCTTGATAATAAAGACGATTATACATCTTTGTGTCCCTTAGAATACCTAGTATACTGTATATAGTAGAAATTCAACAAATCTGTGTTGAATTTAATTTCAAGAAAAATTTATTGATGGTTGAATTGATTTCAGCAAAATATTTGAGTGTCTACCGTATATAAAGAAATAGTTTCTTTTAGATCAGTTAACATGACCTGAATTTATTTCTCACACATACATTAAAGATATTAAACTACCATGGAGAAATTGGAACCCTTGTACAGTGTCATTGGGAATGTAAAATGGTGCAGCCACTATAGAAAACAGTATGGCAGTTACTTAAAAAAATTAAAAGTAGAACTCCTATATGATCCAGCAATTCCACTTCTGAGTATATACTCAAAAGAATTGAAAGCAGGAACTCAAGCAGATACTTGTACATCCATGTTCACAGCAGAATTATTCACAATAGCCAAAAGGTTGAAGAAAACCAAGTGTCCTTCTATAGATGAATGGATAAACAAAATGCAATATATACATACAATGGGATATCATTCAACATTAAAAAAGGAAATTCTGACACATTCTATTACATGGATGACACTTGAGGACATTATGCTAAGTGAAATAAGCAAGTCACAAAACGACAAACACTGTGTGATTCCACTTTTATGAGGTACCTAGAGTAGTCAAATTCATAGACACAGAAAGAAGATTAGAGATTACCTGGGAATGGGAGGAGAGGAGAAGTTAGAGTTATTGGTTAGTGGACACAGGTTTATGTTGATGATGGACCCAGGTTGCCTTGGGTTGGGGGAGAGAGAAATAGGGAGTTATTGTGTTGTGGGTACAGAGTTTCAGTTTTGCAAGATGAAAATACTTCTGGAGGTGGACTGTTGCACAAAAATGTGAATGTACTGAATTGTACAATTAAAAGTAGTTAATATGGTAAATTTTGTTATGCTTATTTTACCACAATAAAATCAGTTTTAAAAAATTAAAAAAAAAAATCTAAAGGAAAAAACTTCTGGAACTGCAGCTCTATTAATTACTAGTGAGATTTGGAAGCAGCCAAGATGTCCTTCAGTAGGTGAGTGGATAAATAAACTGCGGTACATCCAGACAATGGACTATTATTCAGCACTGAAAAAGCAATAAGCTATTGAGGCATGAAAAGACATGGAGAAACTTTAAATGCATATTACTAAGTGAAAGAAGCCAATCTGAAAAGGCTACATACTCTATGGTTCCAACTATATGACATCCTGGAAAAGGCAAAACTGTAGAGAAAACAAAAAGATCAGTGATTGCTGAGGTGGGGTGGGATGAATAGGCAAAAAACAGAGAATTTTTAAGGCAGTGAAAATACTCAGTATGATATTATAATGATGAATATGTGCCACTGTACATCTGTCCAGAACCATAGAGTGTATAACACCAAGAGCAAATCCTAAAATAAACTATGGAGTCTGAGTGATTATGATGTCAATATAGGTTCACCCTTCATTGAAAGAAAGAAAGAAAGAAAGAAAGAAAGAAAGAAAGAAAGAAAGAAAGAAAGAAAGAAAGAAAGAAAAGAGAAAAAAAGAGAAGGGAAGGGAAGGGAAGGGAAGGGAAGGGAAGGGAAGGGAAGGAAAAGAAAGGAAAGGAAAGGAAAGGAAAGTACTGGGCATCTGGGTAGCTCAGTTGGTTAAGCATCTGACTTCAGCTCAGGTCATGATCTCTCTGTTTGGGGGGGTTCAGGTCTCACATCAGCCTCTGTGCTGACAGCTCTGCTTCAGATGTGATGTCTCCTTCTCTCTCTGCCCCTCCTCTGCTCATGCTCTGTCTCCCTTTCTCTCAAAAATAAGTAAGCATTAAAAATTTTTTTGTTTAAGTAGCATTCTGGTGAATGATGTTAGTAATGCTAGAGACTGTGCATACAAGGGGTCAGGGAGCATATGGGAGATCTCTGTACCTTTTTCTCAATTGTATTGTAAACCTGAATTTTCTAAAATATGAAGTCTTTAAAAAAAAAAAAAAGAACCCTGTTGGAATGATGAAGCAATCACAGTAAGGATGCAAGATACCAGTTGAATATACAAAAATCACTCATTTCCTACAAACCACCAATGAACAAATGGAATTTGAAATTAAAAGCAATATATCATTCACATTAGCATCCCCCAAAAATGAAATACCTATGTTAAATCTAACAAAATATATACAATATCTATATGAGGGAAAACTACAAAAGGCTGATGAAAGAAATCAAAAACTAAATCAAAGAACTAATACTAAGAGAGGTATTCCATGTTCATAGATAGGACGACTAAATATTGTCAAGATCTCAGTTCTTTCCAACTTGATCTATAGAGTCAATGCAATCACAATTAAAATCCCAGCAAGTTATTTTGTGGTTAGGAGAAAGAGAATAGTATGGAAGGAGAAGAATAAAGCTGGAGGACGGAAACTACCCAACTTCAACACTTACTATAAAACCACAGTGATCTAGGCAGTGTGATATTGGCAAAAGAATAAATCAATGGAAGAGAGTATAGAGCCCAGTTATAGACCCACATAAATACAGTCATCTGATCTTTGACACAAAAGCAAAGGCAATATGATAGAACGAATATAGTCTTTTCAACAAATGATGTTGGAACAATTGTACATCCACATGCAAAAAAACTAATCTAAACACAGCCTTTACATCCTTTACAAAAGTTAACTCACAATGCATCACAGACCTAAATATAAAATGCAAAACTATAAAACTTCTGTTGGTAACATAGGATTAAACCTGGTTGACCTTAGGTACTAGCATGATTCTGTATAAATAGTTGACAAGTGAATTTCATTAGCATTAAAAACTTCTGCTCTGGGGGACACACCAGCAAGAAAACAAGAAGGCAAGCTACACACTGGAAGAAAATATTTGCAAAAGACCTATCTGATAAAGGCCCGGTATCCAAAATATACAAATAACTCTTGAAACCCAACAATAAGAAGACCAAAAAACAAAATTACTGATTAAAAAATAGACAAAAGAACTGGACAAATAAAAAGATATACAGATGACATATAAACACATGAAAAGATGCTTAACATCACACATCATTAGAAAAATATAAATTAAAAGAAAAAATCACTACACACCTATTCAAATAGCCAAAATCCAAAATACTAACACCATCAAAAGCTGACAAGGATGTGAAGCCACAGGAACTTCATTCATTACTGGTGGGAATGCAAAGTGGTACAGCCACTTTGGAAGACACTTCAGCAGTTTCCTACAAAATTAAACATACCTCTACCATGGGATCCACCAATCAGGTTGCTTTGTATTTACTCAAATGAATTTAAAACTTCTGTCTACACAAAAACTTGAACATAGATGTTGATAGCCCATTTATCCATAATTGCCAAAACTTGGAAGCAACCAAGATATTTTTCAGTAAGTGAATGGATGAATAAACTGTGGTATAACCAGACAATAGACTATTATTTGGAAGGAAAAAGAAATGAGCTATGAAGCCATGAAAAGACATGGAGGAACCTTAAATGCATACCACTAAGTGAAATAAGCCGATCTAAAAAGGCTACATACTGTATGAGGCCAATCAAATGACATCCTAGAAAAGGCAAAACTTTTGAAATAATAAAGGGTGATAATGATGTCAATGTAGGTTCATCAGTTGTAACAAATGTACCAGCGTGGTATTGAATTTTAGTCAGGGAGGCAGTGTATGTGTATACAGAGGCAGGGGAGAGATGGGTAATCTCTATACCTCCCATTCAGTTTTGCTGTGAATCTAAAGCGGCTCTAAAAATTAAAGTCTATTAAAAATAAAGAAACAGATTCTGACCCATTAATAAAATGGGGAATTGTTATGGTAAATTAATATATAAATAAATTGAAATTTTGATGACAGTTGTGAGATGTACATTATTCAAGTACCTCCCCACAAGATACTTATTAATTACAAGGAGAAAAAGAACAACTTGACAGTGGAGAAGGCTAGCTGACATCATCTTAATCAAGGGCTCAAAGTGAATTTCACTGGGTATGAGACAAATTGAAAACACACCACATTTGGTTGTATCTCTCCTCAGTGATGGGATGTACTAAGAGCCACAGAGTGGCTTCTGTGATATTCCTGCCAAAGAGGCAAACCTGAATCTAATCTTGAGGAAACATCAGACAAAACTAAATTAAGAGACATGCTACAACATAAGTGGCCTGTAATCTTCAAAAGTGTTAAGACTGTGAAAGTTAAATAAACACTATGGAACTGTTCCAGATGGAAGGAGACTAAAGATACTGGGCAGTTAGTGATTCTGAATTGTATCCTTTACTATAAAGGATATCATGGTGACAACCAGAGAAACTTTAATGGAGTTGAAAGCTTAGGCAATAGTAACAGATCAATGTTAATGTCCTGATTTTATGATTGTATTGTTGTTCTATAGAACTATCTTATAGGAACTTATTCTGTAGGAAATACACACTGAAGTATCAGAGGTGTAGTAGGGCACCTTGTTGGCAATGTACTCTCAAATGATACAAAAAAATTATTTTGTATTATTCTTGCAACTTTGAGATCTTTAAAAAAATGTTTAATTCAAGTTTATTTATAGGTTACCTGCATGCTGTAAAATGAAGTTGGACCCTACCTCATTCCATACACAAAACTTAACCCAAAATGAATCAAGTTTGAATATAAGAGCTAAAACTATAAAACTCTTTTTTTTTTTTTATTTCTAGGAGAGAGACAGCGTGAGCAGGGGAGGATCAGAGAGAGAGGGAGATACAGATTCTGAAATAGGCTCCAGGCTCTGAGCTGGCAGTCAGCACAGAGCCCGACGCTGGGCTCGAACCCACAAACCGCGAGATCATGACCTGAGCGAAAGTCGGACGCTTAACTGACTAAGCCACCCAGGCGCCCCTAAAACTATAAAACTCTTAAAAACAAACATAGAGGTAAATTTTCATGATCTTGGATTTGGCAATGGATTCTTAGATACTGAAAGCATAAGCAGCAACAATAAAATAAATAAATTAGACTTCATCAAATTAAAACCTTTAGTGCATCAAAGGACATTATCAAGAGTGAAAAAAAAACCTGATAGAATGGGATAAAATAATTGCAAATTAAATACCTTTTAAGAATGTAGTATCTAGAATATATAGAGAATTCTTGGAAGGTGCCTGGATGGCTCAGTCGGTTAAGCAACTCTTGATCTTGCAGCTTGTGAGTTCAAATCCCACATCAGGCTCCACACTGACAGTGCAGAGCCTGCTTGGGATTCTCTCTCTCCCCTCTCCCTCTGCCCCTACCCAACTCATGTGTGCACACTCTCGAAAGAAAGAAAGAAAGAAAGAAAGAATATATACCCAGAAATAGGATTGCTGGACCATAGGTTGTTCTATTTTTAATTTTTTAAGGAACCTCTATAATGTTTTCCATGTTGGATGCACCAATTTATATTCCTACCAACACTGCACAAGGGTTCCCTTTTCTCTGCATCCTCACCAACATGTGTTATCCCTTGTTTTTTTGATAATAGCCATTCTAACAATGGTGAAGTGCTAGATTATTGTGGTTTTGATTCATGTTTCTCTGATGATCAGTGATGCTAACCACCTTTTCATGTGCTGGTGGCCATTTGTATGTCTTATTTGGAAAAATATTTGTTGTTTATCTTCTTTTTATAAATGTCTACTCAAGTATTTTGCCCATTTTTAAATTGAGTTGTCTTTTTGACATCCTTCGAGGATGAGGGAGACACTTTTGCAACTAGACAAAATTGCACATTATAAATGCACTAAATGTCACCAAATTGTTCACTTTTAAATGATTCCTTTTATATTGTGTGAATTTCACCTTAATTTTAAAGAAAAAAAGAAACTATTAGTTTCCTTCCCTAAACTTCATCTTCTCCATACACATTAACTCTCCCCTCCTTACGTGTGGGCTGCACCTCTCAAATTCTTTCCAAAGAACAGAACATTTAAAAAGAGTCAGAGGAAGTAACTGTATAGTAGAGAAAACTAGAAACATGACCTTAACCAATGGTCAAGGGTAATGTCACAGCGAAAAGTCACATTGATAACATGTGCCTCCTGATATGTGACAAGAAATGCACTTCTTCCCTCTGGTCTTCCTCCCTGAAACCCATAACCCCAGTTTAGCTATGGAAAGAAAATCAGACAATCCCAAATTGAGGGGTAGTCTATGTAATAACCAATACTCTTCAGGACTCTCAAGGTCATCAAAAACAAGGAACATCTGAGAAACTGTCACAGACCAGTGGAGGGCAAGGAGACAGGACAAACTGACCGTACCGTGGCGGGCTGCATGGCGTACGAGGACAGGAAACGGACTTCAGGGGAGAACTAGTGAATCAGAATAAAGTGTGGACTTTAGGAAACAGTAATGTGCCGGTACTGGCTCCTTAGGGGTGGGGAGCGGACCCTGCTAACGGGAGACGTTAACGCCAGGAAAACTGGGCGAAAGGCGGACAGGAATTTCGTACTGTCCTCGCAACTTTTCTGTAAATCTGACACTGTTATAAAATAAAACGGTTTTGTTTTTTACAAGAGGCAAGGGCAGAACATTAACTAATAGAGATGTAATGCTATCATTTACATATGCACAGAACAGCTCAGAAAGCACATTCCAGAAACCATAATGCCAGAGGCCTCTAACAGGGACAGGTGTTTGAAGGGCAGAGGAGGTCATTGTACACCCTTTTGTACCTTCTGAATTTTCAATATGAAGGGTTAAAAAGCAAGTGGCTCATGCTGGCTTCGGCAGCACCTATACTAAAATTGTAAAGATATGGAAAAGATTAGCATGGTCCCTGAATACGAATAAATGCAAATTTGGGAAGCATTCCACATTTTTTAGTTTAGTGGGTATAGAGTTTAAGCTTTATCAGACAAAAAAGTTCTAGAGATCTGTTGGACAACACTGTAAATATACTTAACACTACTTAACTGTACACTTAAAAATGGTTAAGACAACAAATCGAATGTTATATTTTTTACCGCAATAAAAAAGTAAAGTTTTCTGAAGCAAAAGCAACAAAATGTTAATATCTATTCAGAGATGGGGACACAATTTATCTAAATAATTGTGTTCTATGTTTTTCTGCGTGTTTGAAAAATTAAAATCTCAGGCAAAGGATGCAGCATGTGCAAAGGCCCTGAGGCGGGATGAAGCACAGCCAGTGTGGGCTCGAGAGCAGGGAGCAAAGAACAAGGTGGCACAGGATGAGAGAAGTAGGTGGGGACTCAATCACCAGTCACCGAGGACAACACCCTTCCCGCACATTCCAGAGGTTCCCCGCTCTGCCAGCCTAAAGGCTGTTACTTTCTCAAGCACTAACAGGGCTCCTCAGTCTGTCTCCAAATCACCCAGTGCCAGCCTGGCTCAGACGTTGCTCTATCCTGAAATGACAAGCTCCATTGTTCCCCTTCTCCTGCGGGCTGCTTTCCCCTCAAGACGCAGATCTGAGTTGACAGGTTTCTGTGGGTGGATCCCCAGGGCAGAGCTCACAAAGACACGACTGTCTGGGACACCGGTCCTGCCTGAGCAGAGCAGGATCCTCACCTGATCCTTCCAGCCTCCACATCGAAGAGGATCTCAAAGCTCCTAACAGCCACCCACATACATGGCACGTAGCCCAGCCCTGGACCTGAAGTAGCTCTTTGGCCCTTTTCACCCTCGGAGGTGAGGAGGGAGCTAGGGGCAGGGAGGTGGTGGCTCATAGGCACTAGCTGGATGCCCATTGAGAGAAGCACCAAGCGACAGGGTGGCATCATTTCCCAGGCCCGCAGCACTTCACAGCACACGGCGCCCCACGAGATAGGAAGGGCCAGTACTGATATATGTGCCACAGGCAAGGCAATGGAATCAGGGTGTGCCAACGTCACGTGGCTGGCCAGAGGGCTCAGACCCCGGAGACCCCTCCCCGGTGCCCTTCCCAGGCACACAAAGAGGCCCCCACCCCAGGAGTAGCAGTTAGACCAAAGAAGACTCCGGGGCTAGATCTCCCACTGCACCATTTGGGAGCTGAGACCTTTGGGCGGACAATGGCTCCCGCCCTTGACCTCCCAAGAGTACCAAGTGCCATGTCTGGTAACAGATGGTAGCTCCTCTTACCATAACACCCTAGAAACAACCCACTGGAGAGCTGTTACTTAACAGCCAACTCACCCACCGCAAGGAGCATGGCATGGGCTCAACCAGGGGGGGCGTGAGGGCAGCAGAGGGCAGAGCATCCCTGGGACAGGCCCGGTTGTTGGGGGGCTGCCTCGGGCCTCAGAGAGGACCCTCTGGGATGGACCCCAGCGCCACCCAGGCTCACCAGCATGGCTGTGACTAAACGCAATTGGAGCCACAGAAAAGGCGGTCGGAGCCGGGAGAGCTGAGGTCCAGGACCCACACTGATTATAATGAGCCATGTTACCCTATGTGAGTCACTTCCTCTCTGCGCCTCGTGTTTTTCATCAACAAATAAAGAGTCTGAATTTCATGAAACTGAAGGTACCCTCAAAACTAAGGTCCTGTAAGTAATGTATTTTAGACCCAATTTCCTCCTAAAATGAATAGCTAGGCAGATAGAGATGGATGGATGGATGGATGGATGGATGGATGGATGGATGGATGGATGGACAGAGAGAGAGATGATAGGTAAAGTCTGCTTAGTTATCATTCTCTTTCAAAGCTGATTCTGGAAGGGAGGAAGGAAGGAAGGAAGGAAGGAAGGAAGGAAGGAAGGATGGAAGGAAAGGAGGGAGGGAGGGAGGGAGATTGTCATTTGAAGCATCCAGAGACCAGCTGCTAAAAGGTAAGACCCATGGGACTTCCTATGGAGCTGGTGATCCAGAATAAGGAAAAAGCTCAGAGACTCGGGCCCCAGAAAGGAACAGAAGGAAGGTCTGTCTCTTGGCCTCTCTCCACAAGGGCAAGCCCTCCCTGTTTCTTGCTGCCAAACCACAGGCAGCCCAGCATCTGTCTGGGAATCCGGCCTTGGGCTGCGCTTGGACTGGAATCTGTTGGAAACCCCTCTTCATGCAGCCAGGAGAAGAGCAGACTGAGACCGAGTCAGATTTCTCACTGCTGGAAGGGCCTGCCGGTGAGCCTGGAGAAATACAGTACCACCTCCAGAAACTGACTGTCCTGCCCACTAAAATGAGCAATGGGCCATCTCCAGTCGGTGTGTCACAGCCAACTGCCCCAGGCATCTCCCCTGCGCCTGCTTCACAGCAGGCGTCTCAGACCTGCCTTCGACTCGCCTCCAGCAGCCTTCCCACCGCCACATGTGAGCCTGCTTACTCCTAACAGGACTAAAACTTTGGAAGCATCCTTGACCCTTTTCTTAATCCCACTGAATTATTAGCCAGTGTCCAGATCCAGCATCCTCTCTTGGGCTGGGCAGCATCCACTCTATTGAGGGACTGAATAGAGCAAAAGGTAGAGAGGGGCGCCTGGGAGGCCCAGTTAGTTCAGGGTCTGACACTTGATTTCAACTCAGGTCATGATCTTGTGGTTTGAGGGATCAAGCCCGGTGTCAGGCTCCGCGCTGAGCACAGAGCCTGCTTGGGATTCTCTCTCCCTCTCTCTCTGCCCCTCCCTTGCTTGCACTCAGGCTCTTTCTCGCAAAATAAATAAACTTTATGAAAAAGAACAAAAGGCAGAGAAAGGAGGAATTTGTCCCTCTTTTCCTTCCTCCCTGCTTGATCTTGGACATGTCATGTCCTCGCTTCTGCCCTCGGACCTTTCAGACTCGGACTGAGTCACACAGCTGACTGTGGGAATTCTCAGCCCTCCGGAATCACATGAGCCAACTGCTCAAAATAAGTTTCCTTTTATACACGGAAAAGTTTCTGTGTGTGTGTGTGTGTGTGTGTGTGTGTGTGTGTGTGTGCGTGTCCCCTCTTGGTTCTGTTTCTCTGAGATCCTGACTAAGCAACACATCTTGCTGGTTCACCTTTACATAACAGCCCACGTGTATCACTCGTGCTGCGTACCAGGCACTATTCCAGGGACCTTCCATACTAAGTCATCTAATCTTCAAACTGGCTCTGTGGGGTACGTTCTCTCTCATCCCCACCCACTTTACATATGAGGAAACTGAGGCACAGAGAGGCGAAGTAACCACGAAACGATGGGACTGAGGTTTGAAGGCAGGCTACGCAGCTTCCGTGCCTGTGTGCTTTGCAGCCACACCACACTGCACCCCCCCCAGGACTTCTGGCCCCGCCCCCACCAGCCACAGCTCTCACTCCTGACACCACTAGCTCTCACCATCGGATTCCCTGCTGAGCAGCGGAGGGGCAGAGAGAGAGGGAGAGAGAATCCCAAGCAGGCACTGTGCTGTCAGCGCAAAGCCTGACAGGGGGCTTGATCTCATGAGCTGTGAGATCATGACCTGGGCCAAAATCAAGAGTCAGACTGAGCCACCCAGGCGCCTCTGCTGAAAGCCCTTTTATATTTTTTTATTTTTTATTTTTTTTACAAATAGTTTATTGTCAAGTTGGTTTCCATATAACACCCAGTGCTCATCCCCACAAGTGCCCTCCTCCATGCCCATCTCCCCCCTCCCCCCTCACACCCATCAGTCCTCAGTTTGTTCTCAGCATTCAAGAGTCTCTCATGGTTTGCCTCTCTCCCTTTCCCCCACCATTTCCCCCCTTCTTCACCCTCGTGGTACTCCGTTAAGTTCCTCCTAATCCTCCTAGATGTGCAAACATATGGTATTTGTCCTTCCCTGCCCTTTTAAAGAAGAGTCGGGTCAAGTCCAAGCCCCTTCACCCCCCACCTGGTGCCTCCCATGTCACTGAGAGCCAAAGCTGAAACATTCACTATAACCTGCAAGGCACTGCCGACCAGACCTGATCTGTCCCCCACATACTCTCTCCCTGCACACCAGCCTCCTTGCTCACCACACCCAGAGCCTTTGCACTTGCTGCCCCATTCCCCCTGCCCGGAACATCCTTCCTGTCACCCCCAGAGCTCATGCCATCACTTACTAGGGAAATCCCCCCAAAAAACCCTATTGAAAATTCCAACTGCCCCCCACTGCCGCCATTCTTCCTGTCCCCCTGACGGCATCCCACTGTACCATCCCATTACAGCATGTGCATCATCTGACCCACAGCCCATCTGCTACCTCCCCTCTAGACAACACCCTCTGTGGGGGCAGGACTCAGGCTTGTTTGATGCCCTGCTATACCTGTCCCTTGGGCTTGAAATAACCCTTTTCAGGAGGTGCTAAATAAATATGTACCGCAGATGTACATCATGGATAAATTTTGATGCATTCATAAATGGAAAGCCCACAGCAACTAAAAGAATAAAAGAATGAAGTATTGCTACAAGTAGTAGCATGAATAATACTGTTCAGCAAAAGAAGCCAGACTTGGGTTATCAGTGATGGGGTAGCCATGTATGGGTGGGGGTGGTGGGCATATGGGAATCCGTACTCTCCTCTCACTTTTGCTGTTAACTTAAAACTTCTCTAAAATATATTTTTATTTATATATTTTATAAATTAAAATATATATTAAATATATACATTAAATATGTGTATCTTTTATATATCTTTTTTTTTTTAAAAAAAGAAGCCAAACACAAAAGAAGACATGATTAATTTCAGGCAGCAGCATCTCCACGGTCAAGACCTCCCACAGCCTCACGCAGTAGGGTTCCACTCTGGGTGGGAGTGGAATGGAACCAGAAAGGTGTTTCTATCAGGAACCCAGAATAAGAGACCAGGACTTGGCTAAATCAGCCACAAAAACCTGGGGTGGGGGGTGGGGGATGCCTGCTCCCAGATCAGCTGATCATTCTCTGGGTTCTTGGTTTTTTTCTGCTCCATGGATTCCTTGGTATTCACT